CACTCACTCGCCTACTCACTCATTCACCCACTCACTCGCCCACTCACTCATTCACCCACTCATTGACCCACTCACTCAACCACTCACTCATTCACCCACTCACTCATTGACCCACTCATTGACCCACTCACTCACCTACTCACTTATTCACCCACTCACTCACTCACCCACTCACTCACCTACTCACTAAGACTGCAGGTCACCTCACTTCTCTTTCTGCTTCTTCTCTCCCACCACTCCACTTTGGAATTCCATGTCGTTTGCATGTTTTACCACACGCATGCTGTGGTGAATGCAGACTTCACGCCCTTGCGATGGGTGTCTATTTGTTGTTTGGACATCTTAACGCCTGTCTTCTTGCCGGAAAGCGTTGAGTTTAATTCTCCCCCCCTCCCCCCCCCCCAAAAAACCACGATCATTTGCCCATGAATTTAAAGTATTTTTCCTTTTAATTATATCAAAGCTTCAAGCTTGTGCTGCGGCGCAGTGGACGTACGGCCGAGGTGTGAGTCGACAAGACACGTGTTGTTGTTGTTGTTGTTGTGTGTTCGTTTGTTTTCCCCCGTTACAAAACCCCTTCGCTGATTGCAACGGCGACAGTGCTGCTTATTGGTGGCCGTCTGACGTTTTGGGCCACGGGCCCATTGGACCATTGTTCTGTGCGTGAACAATGGAGGGAGGCGGCGTGAGAGTGACGCTGATTTACCACTGGGCTATTGTTCTGTGCGTGAACAATGGAGGGAGGCGGGGTGAGAGTGACGCTGGTTTACCACTGGGCTATTGTTCTGTGCGTGAACAATGGAGGGAGGCGGCGTGAGAGTGACGCTGATTTACCACTGGGCTATTGTTCTGTGCGTGAACAATGGAGGGAGGTGGCGTGAGAGAGGCGCTGGTTTACCACTGGGCTATTGTTCTGTGCGTGAACAATGGAGGGAGGCGGGGTGAGAGTGACGCTGGTTTACCACTGGGCTATTGTTCTGTGCGTGAACAATGGAGGGAGGCGGCGTGAGAGTGACGCTGATTTACCACTGGGCTATTGTTCTGTGCGTGAACAATGGAGGGAGACGGCGTGAGAGAGGCGCTGGTTTACCACTGGGCTATTGTTATGTGTGTGAACAATGGAGGGAGACAGCGTGAGAGAGGCGCTGGTTTACCACTGGGCTATTGTTCTGTGCGTGAACAATGGAGGGAGGCAGCGTGAGAGAGGCGCTGGTTTACCACTGGACCATTGTTCTGTGTGTGAACAATGGAGGGAGGCGGCGTGAGAGAGGCACTGGTTTACCACTGGGCTATTGTTCTGTGTGTGAACAATGGAGGGAGGCAGCGTGAGAGAGGCGCTGGTTTACCACTGGGCTATTGTTCTGTGCGTGAACAATGGAGGGAGGCGGCGTGAGAGAGGTGCTGGTTTACCACTGGACCATTGTTCTGTGCGTGAACAATGGAGGGAGGCGGCGTGAGAGAGGCGCTGGTTTACCACTGGGCTATTGTTATGTGTGTGAACAATGGAGGGAGGCAGCGTGAGAGAGGCGCTGGTTTACCACTGGACCATTGTTCTGTGTGTGAACAATGGAGGGAGGCGGCGTGAGAGAGGCGCTGGTTTACCACTGGGCTATTGTTCTGTGCGTGAACAATGGAGGGAGGCAGCGTGAGAGAGGCGCAGGTTTACCACTGGACCATTGTTCTGTGTGTGAACAATGGAGGGAGGCAGCGTGAGAGAGGCACTGGTTTACCACTGGACCATTGTTCTGTGTGTGAACAATGGAGGGAGGCGGCGTGAGAGAGGCGCTGGTTTACCACTGGGCTATCGTTCTGTGCGTGAACAATGGAGGGAGGCAGCGTGAGAGAGGTGCTGGTTTACCACTGGGCTATTGTTCTGTGCGTGAACAATGGAGGGAGGCGGCGTGAGAGAGGCGCTGGTTAACCACTGGGCTATTGTTCTGTGCGTGAACAATGGAGGGAGGCGGCGTGAGAGAGGCGCTGGTTAACCACTGGGCTATTGTTCTGTGCGTGAACAATGGAGGGAGGCGGCGTGAGAGAGGCGCTGGTTTACCACTGGGCTATTGTTCTGTGTGTGAACAATGAAGGGAGGCGGGGTGAGAGTGACGCTGGTTTACCACTGGGCTATTGTTATGTGTGTGAACAATGGAAGGAGGCAGCGTGAGAGTGACGCTGATTTACCACTGGGCTATTGTTCTGTGTGTGAACAATGAAGGGAGGCGGGGTGAGAGTGACGCTGGTTTACCACTGGGCTATTGTTCTGTGCGTGAACAATGGAGGGAGGCAGCGTGAGAGTGACGTTGGTTTACCACTGGGCTATTGTTCTGTGCGTGAACAATGGAGGGAGGCAGCGTGAGAGTGACGCTGATTTACCACTGGGCTATTGTTCTGTGCGTGAACAATGGAGGGAGGCAGCGTGAGAGTGACGCTGATTTACCACTGAGCTATTGTTCTGTGCGTGAACAATGGAGGGAGGCAGCGTGAGAGTGACGCTGATTTATCATTGGACCATTGTTCTGTGCGTGAACAATGGAGGGAGGCAGCGTGAGAGTGACGCTGATTTACCACTGGGCTATTGTTCTGTGCGTGAACAATGGAGGGAGGCAGCGTGAGAGTGACGCTGATTTACCACTGGGCTATTGTTCTGTGCGTGAACAATGGAGGGAGGCAGCGTGAGAGTGACGCTGATTTATCATTGGACCATTGTTCTGTGCGTGAACAATGGAGGGAGGCAGCGTGAGAGTGACGCTGATTTACCACTGGGCTATTGTTCTGTGTGTGAACAATGGAGGGAGGCAGTGTGAGAGTGACGCTGGTTAACCACTGGGCTATTGTTCTGTGCGTGAACAATGGAGGGAGGCGGCGTGAGAGTGACGCTGGTTAACCACTGGGCTATTGTTCTGTGCGTGAACAATGGAGGGAGGCAGCGTGAGAGTGACGCTGATTTACCACTGGGCTATTGTTTTTGTGCGTGAACAATGGAGGGAGGCGGGGTGAGAGTGACGCTGATTTACCACTGGGCTATTGTTCTGTGCGTAAACAATGAAGGGAGGCGGGGTGAGAGTGACGCTGGTTTACCACTGGGCTATTGTTCTGTGCGTGAACAATGGAGGGAGGCGGGGTGAGAGAGGCGCTGATTTACCACTGGGCTATTGTTCTGTGCGTGAACAATGGAGGGAGGCGGGGTGAGAGTGACGCTGATTTACCACTGGGCTATTGTTCTGTGCGTGAACAATGAAGGAAGGCGGGGTGAGAGTGACGCTGATTTACCACTGGGCTATTGTTCTGTGCGTGAACAATGGAGGGAGGCAGCGTGAGAGTGACGCTGATTTACCACTGGGCTATTGTTCTGTGCGTGAACAATGGAGGGAGGCAGCGTGAGAGTGACGCTGATTTACCACTGGGCTATTGTTCTGTGTGTGAACAATGAAGGGAGGCAGCGTGAGAGTGACGCTGATTTACCACTGGGCTATTGTTCTGTGTGTGAACAATGAAGGGAGGCGGGGTGAGAGTGACGCTGGTTTACCACTGGGCTATTGTTCTGTGCGTGAACAATGAAGGAAGGCGGGGTGAGAGTGACGCTGGTTTACCACTGGGCTATTGTTCTGTGTGTGAACAATGAAGGGAGGCGGGGTGAGAGTGACGCTGGTTTACCACTGGGCTATTGTTCTGTGCGTGAACAATGGAGGGAGGCGGGGTGAGAGTGACGCTGGTTTACCACTGGGCTATTGTTCTGTGTGTGAACAATGAAGGGAGGCGGGGTGAGAGTGACGCTGGTTTACCACTGGGCTATTGTTCTGTACATGAACAATGAAGGAAGGCGGGGTGAGAGTGACGCTGGTTTACCACTAAGCTAAGCTATTGTTCTGTGCGTGAACAATGGAAGGAGGCGGCGTGAGAGAGGCGCTGGTTTACCACTAAGCTATTGTTCTGTGCGTGAACAATGGAAGGAGGTGGCGTGAGAGTGACGCTGGTTAACCACTAAGCTATTGTTCTGTGCGTGAACAATGGAGGGAGGCGGGGTGAGAGAGGAGCTGGTTAACCACTAAGCTATTGTCCTGTCCGTGAACAATGGAGGGAAGCGGCGTGAGAGTGACGCTGGTTAACCACTGGGCTATTGTTCTGTGCGTGAACAATGGAGGGAGGCGGGGTGAGAGAGGCGCTGGTTTACCACTGGGCTATTGCTATGTGCGTGAACAATGGAGGGAGGCGGCGTGAGGGAGGCGCTGGTTTACCACTGGGCTATTGTTCTGTGCATGAACAATGGAGGGAGGCGGCGTGAGAGAGGCGCTGGTTTACCACTGGGCTATTGTTCTGTGCATGAACAATGGAGGGAGGCGGCGTGAGAGAGGCGCTGGTTTACCACTGGGCTATTGTTCTGTGCATGAACAATGGAGGGAGGCGGCGTGAGAGAGGCGCTTGTTTACCACTGGGCTATTGTTCTGTGCATGAACAATGGAGGGAGGCGGCGTGAGAGAGGCGCTGGTTTACCACTGGGCTATTGTTATGTGCGTGAACAATGGAGGGAGGCGGCGTGAGAGAGGCGCTGGTTTACCACTGGGCTATTGTTCTGTGCGTGAACAATGGAGGGAGGCGGGGTGAGAGAGGCGCTGGTTTACCACTGGGCTATTGTTATGTGCGTGAACAATGGAGGGAGGCGGCGTGAGGGAGGCGCTGGTTTACCACTGGGCTATTGTTCTGTGCATGAACAATGGAGGGAGGCGGCGTGAGAGAGGCGCTGGTTTACCACTGGGCTATTGTTATGTGCGTGAACAATGGAGGGAGGCGGCGTGAGGGAGGCGCTGGTTTACCACTGGGCTATTGTTATGTGCGTGAACAATGGAGGGAGGCGGGGTGAGAGTGACGCTGGTTTACCACTAGGCTATTGTTATGTGCGTGAACAATGGAGGGAGGCGGCGTGAGGGAGGCGCTGGTTTACCACTGGGCTATTGTTATGTGCGTGAACAATGGAGGGAGGCGGGGTGAGAGAGGCGCTGGTTTACCACGCGGCTCCAGGAGGCTGTGCACCGTGAAGCGAGGCACCGACGGGCCTGCAACCAGAGCGGAGAGACGCAGGGTGAGACGTTTGTTACGGAAGACCTCGTGTGCAGCTACTCGTTATGTACATACGTTGAACTTCTTTCGCGCTGTACATAGCCAACTGTGCTAATCAGAGGTGCGGGGGAAGGACAACACAAGAAGCAGTTAATTATTACGCAAAGCGCCACATGCAAACAAATACACGCGATGAAAATTGTTCGTTTCACCGCCAACAAATGAAAAAACATTTCGTTTTCGTCGGCCAGTCAGCTTTCTGGATCATCACCTTTCAGTCGCATCTGTTTACTAAGACGAAAACAACCACAGGACCCGTGTAGATGTTTGTTGTCGGCTCTTTCTCGCTAATTAATGAATTACGTTTATATAAAGAACTTTTTATACTTCGAACTCAATGGGGCTGTACATCACAAAGAATTATCATAGGCCAAGGGGAGGGACAACTAAGGAGGCAGAGAGGCGTTCATGAGAGAAGCGAAAGCGAGAGAGAGAGAGGCAGTGACCCCGCATCGAGCCAGCGGTGTCTACACCACTCGGCCCCTATCGCCGCTGAGCAGGCTACTCCAGAGGCTGGGAGCAGCAGCAGCGCGGCAGAGTGCGCGGTGGGCGATGAGCCTTCCTGTGCCCCACTGGGAGCCGCACCCCCGATGACAGCACGGTGGGCATAGCCACCAAAGAATGAGGCCTTCGTGAAGGCCACACGCACGGGCAGGGCTGTGTCATTCAATAGGCACTGTGCCCAAGGCCTTCGAAAACTAAAGGGTATACGAAATTTTTTTTTTCCGTGTTTTTATTATATTTTGATGATACAAAATTTCCGCGGCGCACAGGCTAAATGATGAACGTGTCAGTAACGACATCTGTCGAGCGGCTGGACGAAGTACATGGTGAAACAAGCGGAGTGACAGCGGCTGTAGTAGAGACATGGGGCAGCAGCAGCTGCAGGAAGTTATCACTGAAGGCCTACGAAACAGAAGTGCCTAGGCCCTACAAGAACCTTAATCCGGCCATGCACAGGGGGTCAGTAGCTGTACGGGATCATACGGTCGTCCACTCTGAGGGCCTTGTGCGTCAGGACTGTCCAATTATGATCCCTGCAGCAAGCAGTGGACCCCCCAAATGTCAGAGAATGGCCCCTGGAAGATGATGTCACGTAACTACTTCTAAAAACAGCGGTGCCAGCTCATTTCCGCGACCCGTGGAACGACACAGCCACCTCTGGTTTCAATTTGATGAGTTTCATCAGCAGGGAATTCAAATGAATGCTGATAGGTTTCTTGGTGCTGTAGGCAACAGCCCTCCATGAACAGTCACGCCTATTCAAGGCAGAACATATTTGAACTACATTTTATTACGTGTGACCTTATGGGATTGTGGTTAATACAACACATACATTCAGTCAAGGCTTTGTTTAAAAAAACATGAGAATCAGAATCCTCATGTAAACTGGAGGAATCTGATGAGCCAAGAAGCCTTTTTTCACATGTCCAGGAGGTCCACCAGCCAACCTCGCAGCATTTCTCTAAAGGCAACGCCATTCGGATGAGACCTAGAAACGGCAAGGCCAGTCTGTGGGTTTGCTTGCTTTAAATAGCCCTGAAAACGAAACACCACAGACCTCTCTTTGGCCGTCCCTTCAATAAGGCCTCACACAATAGCGGGCATCATTCCATCACGCATCCATGGAGTGGTTTGTGACATGTCAACATCTGATACGTTTACACATTTTATCCCTCAAGAGCTGGGGGCTAGCTGACAATGCGGGGGGCGGGGGCAGGGGGGCAGGGGGAGAAATTTCTCAATTATTTTTTTGAACGCATTCATTGGTGACCGGGCTGAGGCCATCAACTCACTGCGTACCAGAGCCTGGTGTTAAACACTCGCGGCTGCCCATAATTCAAAGACTGAACCTCAGTGGGTTTCGGCTCAGTGGTCTGACACGGCCATTATGAGCCTGGTGAACCAACCGGGGCTGTCTTATTCAGAATTGTATTTGAAGACCCGTCTCCATGAATTAATCATGTGCTTGAAAAAAAACACAAAGAGAAGCATTGATGTTTTAGAGGTGACTGTATAAAAAAATTATAATCTGGTTAATAAGTATGAGTCTCAGAATAATTGTATCCGCCGTCTAAACCCTGCCAATGTCTCCCGTGGATTTCCTCTTTGTAATCACTGTCACTGAAAGCGTCTCACATTCAAGCCTTTACCCCTTTGTTATCTCTCAAGTTTGACCTCTCAGTCATTCTCTCACTGCTCACATCCTGCCCTTACCCCCTCCACACCTTGGGATGAGTTTCCGTAGAATGTGCTGTGGGACCCTTTCTCCCCGACTTATGTTGTTTTTCATAACGATAATGATAATAGCCAAAGTAATTACAGTATCGTTGCCGATGTTGGCCATGGTGGAGAGAAGTTTTAACTATTTAAATCCCGACCCTGATACCTGCTGCATATTTGGAGTTTGCATGCCTCGCTCTCCCCGTGGTGACGTGGATTTTTCTCCGGGTCTTCCGGGTTTCCCTTCACATTTAGAAACTCGCGTTTATAATATTTCGGCTGCTATAGATTTCAACATAAGCCACTTCGTTGGGCTATCATTTGTGGCCAGGTCGCTTCATTTGTGGTAATCTTTATGGTATTGTACATTTTCCAAAATGTAAACTTTAATGTGTAACCATGCATTACGTTTGAAATAAAATATTGCCTCGTTGCTGTCTTGTAAACTTACCTACCGGTCTACGCGTTGTTCTGCGATATCCCTGAATTTATCCAGGTCTCTCGTGAGCTAAGAATACAGGGGAGTAACTTTGGATTTCTCTCGTGGGAATTCACTCGGCATATTGTTGTTTATTAAGGGGCCGTCCATAAATGACGTCACGCGATTTTGGACGATTTTTGACCCCCCCCCCCATCGTCACACGACGTCACAAAAAGTCAGACCCCCCCTCAAATATGACGTCACAAAGCTCTGCCCCCCCCCAAAAAACAAAGCATGCTTCAAATCGTTTTAAACTATTGTCATTGTAGTGCGTATTTAATGTGTCGCTGCACTCTGATGTAGTAGGAGAAAACATTTATTAAAAAGTCTATTTCATTAAGTAGAACGTGTTGTTTATATTTATTTCAAGTTGCGCATTTTGATGTGACGTCACATTTCTCAACCCCCGCCCCCACCTCGTCACACGTCGTCACAAATGTCTGACCCCCCCCCCCTAAGTGCGTGACGTTATTTATGGACGGCCCCTAAGAATGGTTATGAGAACACATGTAGTAGTAGTAGTAATAAAAAGAATGTCTGCTTGTAACGCGTCGCCACACGGTATCCGCTCGCTCTCGTAGAGAGAGAATGACTCAGAGGCGCGAGGAGGAACCACAGACAAAAAGGAAGGCAGCCACGTGGTGAGTCAGTGCCAACAATTACCCAAGCTTTGCAGTCCTCTCCATATTAAGATGGTATTGGCCAATTAATGCCTGCCTTCATGTGGGAGTAAACCAGAGCATGCAGAATAGAACCCACTCGTGCGAGGGGGAAACGCTCTATCCCATACGGACGAAACAGGTGGAGCGCACATTTTTCTTGTACCACCTTCTTCCAGCGAGCCAGGGAACGGCTCCCCCTCGCCTCCACAGCGCTAAGCAGCGTGCCACCACTCCGCATAAACACGAACGCATGTGCACAAACACACACGCGCGCGCGCGTACATAACAGCGGGTCAAAGAACGCACAAAACAAACGACAAAAGTGGGCGGCGAACGCTAACGGTACCGGCGCTCATCATGAAATATGCATCGAGCAATCGGCGCAACACTCGTACGTCGTGAATAAGGAACGCGGTATAATGGCGCGCTCGGCACCGCGGCCCGAGGGCTGTGAGGCCAGGGGGTCGAGGTGGTGGAGCGGTGCTGCAACTTACCCAGGCAGTGCAGTATGACGTGGCTGCAGCCCGGACTCATGAGGGCCGAGAAGTAGCTGCAGTTCGGCACGAGGTTGCACGACTCGCAGATGCGGCGGAACGAGCCCTGCAGGTCCACACTGCAGGGAGCGCGGCCGCCACACGACACGTGACACGCAAACAGAAACAACTCGGGCTTGATCGTGTCGAACAATCGTGCGCAACGTTTCGTGGTGTATACACAGATCGCGTCTCTCGCAATCGCCGGGGAATCACAGGCGAGTGTGAAGGCAGCGGCGACGGGGCGAGGAGCTGGTGTGAACCACAATTGCCCAGGCTCTGCGGCCCTCTTACATATTCAGGTGTTTTCAGGCAGCTCATGAGCGTTCACGCAAGTGGGAGGAGGACACCGGTACACCTGGAGAAAAGCCAGGCGTGTCCGAAGGGGTGACGCTTCATCCCCACGCAGAAAGGACAGATGATGAAGCCTGACCCCTAATCCTAATTTAACCTAGGCAAGGGCTGGCAACGTCGAAATGGTGAAATCCTCTACTCATGTACAACGTGGCCAGGGATCAACAGCAGTCTGCTCAGGCTGTAGCGCAAAACAAAAATTAGTTTTAGAGGAGTGGTGGCAAAGTGGTTAGCGCATAGCACCTCGAGATCGAGCAACCTGGGTTTCATTTTCTGGATACGGCTAACACCAGTGGCGTATGACACTTCATCAGTCCGCACTGAACCAGCACGGTGAAGTAAGGTCAAACAACGACACTGGGTAGGGCTCCAGACAAGCTTCCTAAGAGTTCCCTCCAATGGTGGCTTGCCCGCCAGCAGTGGCGTGAGCAAGCACTTGCAGGGCTGCGCCTTCACCTTATACAAAGACGAAGAGAATCAGAATCGTTATTTACACTGGAGGAGATGTCCAGTAGGGGCACGGGGTCAGAACGCTACAACAACAAACAATAAAACCACGATAGGAGTGCACAGTATAGGGAAGGTAAACAATCATTTAAAATATACAAACATCCTCTGATATTATTAAACATGCTCTTATATTATCTGAGGATCTACATCATTAGATATCCTTTGCCAGTACCAACATATAAAAAGCCCTTCTATTATATTTTTGTACTGGCAAAGGAGGTCTAATGATGTAGATGCTCACCCCGAGCCCTCATTACTTTGATAGTGGCATTGTCTTTGAGCTGTACGCCTTTTGGCGTCCTCTGGTCGAGCACCAATTGGATCGAGGCTCAAAAGAAAGCCGTCCCTTGGTGTGGACCAATCTGTTTCAAGGACAATGCATATATTATCATGGTGTGCTTTTTGTTTGCATTTTGGCTGCAAGTATTGTGGTTAATGCAGACATGAATCCTTGTAATAAGGTTTCAGTTTTGTTGCCAGAAAAAAGGGGAAAAACCCTATTATCATCAGAGGATGTTTGTTTGCATGCTCACCACAAGTACGTGCGGTTAATGCAGCACTTGCTTCCTTGCAAAAGGTTTCTCTTTGCTGCTGAAACATCCTAACACCTCCTGTTTTATTGCCAGAAAGGTTAAAACCTATTCTTATTTTTCAAAACTAAACTATATATTTTTTCAATCTTACCAGGCAAAGCCCACCGAGGAATTTACTTGTTTTTTTCAGAAGCAACCTGGCCACAAACCATAGCTCAACAAAGTGGCTTTATCGCCACGTGGAAATCTTTCGACGGAGACGGGGCGGTGGGGGGTCCCAACGACGTGGCTGGGTTGTCATGCGCGCGAGTGTCGGCCGGGTCACACAGAGAGACATGCCGGCGCACGGCACTGCGTTGCGCTGTTTCCCTTTGCGAACCGTTTGTCGGGTGTAAACGAGGAACGCTTTAACGGCGGGGAGAGGGGGGGGGGCACATCCCCCCCTCCCACCCACGCCCATCGCTTGTCGCGTTCTATTCCATAATGAGCCGCTCATGCAATTGCGCCGGTGACTCATTACACAATAAAGTAGTGGAATTTAATAAACTCACTCAGAGAAATAATGGAAAATTAAGCTCATAGCTATTATGGGTAATTACCTGCCATGTCACCGCCATTGGATGGGTCGCGCAAACGCCGGGGGGGGGGAGGGTCTCCAATATCCCGGCGTAAAACGACCGCGCGCATGAACGAACGCACGCGCATGAACGAACGCACGCGCATGAACGCACGCGCGCGCCGCGCACGCCGCGCACTGCACGCTCCCGCCTTCAGCACGCGAAGCTTCCATCGTTGTGGAAAGGATGGCCTTTAGGCAGTTTGAGCCAGAGCCGCTCAAAGATTTTGAAATGTAGGCCAGGCACGAGGCCAGTGTTACTTCTAGTCAGCATTTTGCCTATAAGTCTGGGGCTGCTGACAGCCTGTGCAATGTTAATCAAAAGTCTTAAGATTTCATTTAGTCATTCAAATATAAAAAAAACAAATCTGACAGACTAAACAATCCCATACCTAGTAAGACTGTGCTCCGCCTGGGGGAGTGATCTATGGTGTGTGAGTACTGTGCAACACTTGTGTAGTGTCTTGTTAAATTACTCACACTGACACGTTGTAACAAGTCACCTGCTTACACTTTATTTCACCTGTTCTCGCGCCAGTTGTGGGCACTCCTCTATCTGTACGGTCACATACACTTGACTTCTTCCCGCTCTTGTCTATTTTGCACCTCACTTATCCTGCACTCAGCAACTCTGCACTCAGCGACTTCGCACTCAGCGACTTCGCACTCAGTGACTCTGCACTCAGCAGCTCTGCACTCAGCGACTCTGCACTCAGCAACTTTGTAATCAGCGACTCTGCACACAGCAGCTCCGCACTCAGCGACTCTGCATCTACACCGCTGCCCTCACCAATGCTCCCTCATACCCGCTCACCCGTCTGTCCCGGGCGGGGGGTTCAGACAACACCCGCCCGGCGACGGCGTGAGGGTTGAGGTCCCGTTGACGGCTTGAGCGGCAGCGGCGATATGTCTTCACACTTCGTTCCCGGGAAACTCAACCCTCCGCTAACGCACACTCCCCTTATATATTCCTACTAATTATTAGTCCCCACGTGCTCCCACTTAAGCTGCCATCTGCCCAGGGCGCCCCTCACTCTCGCTAATCCTTATCATCACCCCCATCTCCCGTCTCCACGGCGTAAACCCCATGTTCCCACACACACACCTGTTCGACCTCAGTTTTACCCGTTTCTCCCCTTAATTACTGGCGGTTTGTGAGTGCAAACCTCATGTTGCAATGTACACATCTGTTCGACCTCAGTTGCACCCGCGCGCACACCGCGTATATGTCTCCTCTACATCATCCCCCCCATGAATAAAGACGCAGCCGTCCCGGCTGTCAAATCTATGCGAGCGTGCGCGCATGTGTTGTGACCGAACCATTAAAACTAACATAATCATAAGCAGTGACCGGGGAAGGGGCAACGAAATAACAACAATAAACAATATCGAGCGTAATGTAACGGCGTGAACAATCCGTCCTATTAACGAAAACTAACGCATTGCGACCGAGTGCGTGCGGCAGGACCGTCCCCGCGGGTAGAGTTGGTTTTGCTCGGGTGTGAAGAATGGTCCGCTGCAGAAGTCCTCATTGCTCCATCCGTGGACGTTAGGCGCTGTAGGCAGTACAGAATAATCACCCTCATGTCCCGTTTCCTCAGGCGTGGTGGTCAGCACGCCGGACACATCAGACATTGACCGCAAGGGATGTGGGGATGAATCGACAGGACCGGGCGAGACGTATCTTTATACCCGCGACGGATGCACGAACCAGCGCTGTTGGTGAACCGAATGTGTACACACTGCGGCCGCCAGGCCTCAACAACCCCGACCGGTCCTTGCCAAGGATGGTACAGTTTTGGGGACGTGCCTACGGGCACTTGAGGGCAATACAATCATGCCATGTTACCATTTTGCCAAGGCACCCTCGGCCCGCCCAGTCCCCGCAGCCACTCGTTTCTGGCCTGCCTGCGGGCTGAGTTGCTCCTAACAGCCTCGCGGGCCAACCGCAGCTGCTCAAGTGTTAGTGACATCGGGTCTGGCAACACCGACCCCTTCTGAGAAGGGCACAAGCCCAACTGAACCTGTACCGGGGATTTGGGCCCTCTCCGATACATCAAATAGAGCGATGATAATCCCGTTGAGGCAGGGGGAGCTAGCCTGTAAGCAGCGAGGACCCCTGGAATGTGAAGATCCCAGTCCGACTAGCTCATGGTCACTTTCTGGCATAGCATGGCAGTGAGGGTCCTGTGCAACCGCTCAACTATCCCATCCGTTTGTGGATGATACCGTGAGGTATGTGATTTCCGCGTACCCAGAGAATCGCACATCTCCTGGAGAAACTTAGAGGAGAAATTCCTGTCCTGATCCACGACGAGTTGCTCAGGGGCTCCCTTAAGACGAACATAGCCATATAAAAAGGCGTCGGCTTTGGATGCAGCTGATTGGTCAGCCAGAGGCCAGGCCATAGGCCAACGGGTAAGACATTCAACCCCCACGAGGATAAACTTGTATCCTCTCTGGTAGACCGGAAAGGGCCCCCAAATGTCAAGGGCCACCAATACATTCACCAGTGACACAACAATGGACTGTAATGGGATGTGTGGTCGCAGGGCAGGAGATATCCGACGTGCATCGTTTTCCATGCAGGGCCAGTAAAAGTCCTTTTTTAGCATCACTAACGTTTTATAAACGCCCAGGTGCATCAACTTCTCATGTATGGCTTTAGTTTTTCCCTAAGGACCATAAGGTATGACCAAGAAATAACGCTAAGACTCCCCTTCCCACCGCATGAGGAGTTCCTCGCGTAGTACAATGGATGGGCGACCCGCGGGGCCTGGCCCACGAGAAGCAAGATGGCGCAATCTCAAGAGTGAGGCATCATCAACTTGTAGCTTAGCCCGCGTGGCGACTGAGCACCTTCATCCCGCCGCAAACACCGCGGGCGTACCCTTTTGCGAGGGCTTACATCTCGACGCCCCCGAGGCACAAAGACTGCCCCAACCCCTGAATCGCTGGCGTCCGTATCCAATATGAATGGCCTCGTAAAATCAGGATATCCAAGCGGAGGGGCATCGGCAAAAGCAGCGCGGAGAGTGAGGAAGGAATCCTCCTCAGCCTTTTCCCA